TTCCTCATCTTCATGAGGTCTCATTTGTAAACACTACTGTGAGATTGTTCATTCACTCTGTATTTACCCCCACTTAAGAACGCCTCTCTAGATTTAATCACCATGTGTATCTGTCTCGTCAATTAGACCCTCGGGGGAGGGATGTATGTTGCGGGCCACAAACTATAATTTGCGGTTTTCATCATACACGCTGTTTTGATAATCTATATCTGGACGAATAGGGTAAGCAAATAAATTGTTTATTCTGAAAAACGAACAGAATGGAATAGAACCATTGAATAATTTCGTGCTGGACATGCGGTTCGTACGGTGGAATCGGATAATTGGTAGTTCTAGTAGTTTCCTTATCTAGGACAGTCTGTTATTCTGTCCCCCCTACCGATACTCGTGTTGAATCTTACCGGTCTGACCTAAGGAGATCATGTTTCTGCGTGAACTGAAAATCGAGGGAGCACTGTGCAGCTCTTCTGACCTAGTTGGGTTTCATCAACAATACGAATTCATTGCCTCAACTGAGTAAAATCACGGGGACCTCACAAGCATTCTGCTCACGTGACCACCGGGCAGCTGATCATTTTGCTCGTATGCGAAATAAGGAAACCGTTATTTGCAAGCTTGCGCCAGGCATCACGATTCAGCCATCTAGGACAATAGCCACCAGGAGTATGGCTCGGTTGGAAGCATAGGGAACCGGACTACGGATCTGAATCGAATGATACTCGAGTACACCGTCAGGCCAGTCAATGCAATAATCGCGTGGTGGAATTTCGAATACGATACTGTTGGTGGTTACTCATACGTTGGAGGCGAACTGTTGTGCGCATGTTGGTCTGTTAGTTTTTGAAAACATCTCGCACCATCATTAGTTCAGTACAGAGAGAACTCTATTCGGCTGTTATTGCTCAACTACACGGATAACGGAAAGTGAATGAAAGTGAGTTCAGTAAGCAGGCAACGTGTAAACAAACCGAACACGCCTTTTAAATGACTAACCTTGGCTCGAGCCTCCCGGGTGGCTTCGGCCTCTGCAGCCATAGCTCGTTGAAGCTGGACCGGTAGACGCACATCTTTTCTATGAGAAGAAATGAAGAAGAACCGGAACTTTTCAGAATCGGAGAAAACAAGTGAATCGGTAATTTATGACACATCACAGGCATTTTGGAATTAAAATACCAAATGTGGTTCATTCAAGCTTGCATTTACACAACTGATTCCGGGTTCTCCAAATCACTAAGAGTGAGACAGGAAAAAATGCATCAGTTTTTTTGCTTTCTATGCACTGCATCTCGCGAAAATACCACTTTCTGTCCAAGTCAAAATGCACCACAATTGGAAGCACATTTTTAGATATTTTCGGTCATGGTCCCACACAAAATAAGGTAAAATAATCTTACAAACAAATGGACGTGGTTGTCACACAAAACAATCGGGATTGTTGCTCATGGCCGATAAACCACAATGGGTCCCGGTGAAAATCTGATATCTTTCGCTTTCTTTCTGAATGTCCGTATGATCAATGCTTGTGGAAAGGGGCAGACAATTGCAGGGTTGTAGACGGAAAAAATGCTTTCATTCATCAGTTTAAAAAGTTAAACTATGGAGAACGGAGCTTGACACTCAATGAGATTGATACTGACACAAAACGTCTGTCACATAACTGCAAATACCGCACCTCTTGCATTGAATTATAATGTCAACACCCTATGAGGTAATTAAAAAAGCATTCGCTTGCTGGTTAAAATGATGAGAAATTTCGCAGTATCCTTTCTAATTCTACCCGGTCACAGTGCTGACAACTAATGCTTTGTACGCATAAATATTCGAGGCTAGATGTGTCATGTGACCGCCGGAATGAAGTGAATAGTTTACTAAATTCGTTGGGGCCAAGTGTCCCTTTTTCCAGGAACGCGTGCATAGGAAACTATGGAAACATTGGATTCGGCTTATCCTGGGATGCAACTAGAGTTGCCAGCCAAAAAGAGAGACCACGTAAACTGTGCACTTCTATGTTGATCTACTCATTCAAATGTGTTGGTAATGCAGCGTACATTGACGATTGGTGGGGCAACCATCCAAAAGGATGAAGGAGCACTTCGCTCGCTGGTTAGAAAAAGGAGGCACAAGGAACAACGGAAGTGCCATTTTTAGCTATCTGGTGAATACAGTATATCAATTCAGCCCAAAAACCACGTTTATGTTAATCTATCGTGTGTCTCAACCCTTCTAAGACGGTGCGCTCACAAATACACTAGCCTGCCGTTTAAGTGGTAGGTATCTGCAGTTTCGCCTCTGAACTATACGCACACAAGAGACTGGATCAAGCTCTCCAATTACCCTGGCCCCAAACTGATCACCACCAACAACAACAGCACTCTAATCCCAATCGATTTCACCCACACACAGACAAGTAACCATGTGTTGCAGGGCTCATATTCCGGACAGGGAGAGTTCCCTCTCCCTACCCGGAATGACCGGACGCACGAGAGTAAAAATGTGTCTTCACTAACAACAAACTCCGATGTGACCTGTTTACGGAGGATTAATAATCATTCGAAAATAATTGATCACCTTCGGAATTGGTGGATCTTGTTTCCGGATCACTCATGAAAAAATGAATTAGCTGGATCCATGTGACCATGATGCGTCCTCACCAATTGGACAGAGCAAACGGTTTCTTTAGCACCTTCGAGCCTGAGAGCCTCGTTCGGACTGTGTCCGATCCGATAGACTAAATACTGATGGCGAACGGCCGCAACAAACGTTTAAATAATTAGCACAGGCTTTGTGTGGATCATCTGATAGCTCGCGGGATGTAGAATGCAAATTGTTTTTGCTCTTACGATTCAAACGTGATTTAACTATTTTCCGAGTCCGTATCCTATTATGTAAAATCATCAAGTCTCTTTCCTCACTCAAACAATTTACGTCACGAAGGGCCGGGTTCGGTATGATTCACGAGTGAACTGCATGTATGCAGAAGAGTGGACGGAAACAGTTTTGCAAATTTGCAAACAATCAGTCATTTCCCAATTCTGCTGATCAGACTTATGTGCACGATTGATAATCGTTTGTAAGGAATACGTAGTGTATAAACTCCGATCATCCGGTGTTTTCTTGCATAGGTTTCTACATGCAAACGGGCTCATATTGCTTAGGTCGTTTAAGTCGATCGTTCTCAATTACTCTTACATTTTGATCAGGAAACAGAAACTCGTCATTCACTGACTGCCAAACTAAAAAAAATTGTGAGAGCGAAGTTCCGGTGACAGGAAGTGCACGCAGTACATGTGAATGGATGGCACAAACTGAACAATCAAAGACTACCTAAGAGTAGTGGAGGAGTTGATTACATTACATACTGGAGTTCATCGAGCATAAAGCAAACGATGCTTGAACTGAACAGCTAGAAAGTACTGGCCAGCTGTTTCGACCCATCAGGGGTGCGAATCAATCGACACAACTGGAAGATTGCAATCTTCCACGAGAGAGCAACTTTTCTTCCTTCACAATAAAACCTGTATACTCAGTGTGCTTGCATTTCACCCGTGAGGTTCTGGGTTTAATCCCCAATCGGGTGGATGGATTCGCACTGCTGATGAGACCAAATCAGGTCGAAACAGCTGTACATTGCTTCTTAGATTTTCATCTCGCGCTTCATTTGCCCTGCATACGAGGAAATTCACTATGCAATTGTATTCACTACAGTATGTACTTAGTTGCTTGATGTTCCTTCTGAATACTTATTGCAATCAACTTGCATCTCCGGTGCCGCCTTCCGTTAATTCGTGTCTCAGTGGATTGTGTGTTATCGAACGATTCTGTTTTATAGGTGCTCTCTCGATCGCACATGTACGCTTTTTAGTGTGCCCTCAATTTGCTTACCCTTCCGTTCTCTTGTAAGAAAAAAGTTAAACCGTATCAGATTAAAAAAGCTGAAGGTTTAAAACCCTTTTTTTCTAGAACTCCTCTCAAATCGGAATCGTCACTGTCCCAGGTCAACCGTGTACGTAATACACGAACTGTGAACACGAACCTTACACCAAAATATCACACCTTCGGATAACCGATATGCTTTAGTAACAGGAGGTGAATGTATTGCACCGCGTGTCTGCAGTTTATGCATCCGTGCAAACAAACCCGCATGCATTTCTACCACACCTATCTCAATCATACGGGATGTTCGAATAACCCGCCCTCGTGATGCACAAAGGTGATTGATAGTTTCGTAGACTGAGTGAAACTCAAACATCGGCATATTTCGATTCGGTTCTGTCTGAGTTCAATGCAATTCTCCCCACTCTGTTCAGTGTTACGTACGTATGTACGTCATTAGCCATTCCCCGAGGGCATGAGTGTTTCGACCAATGATCGTTATAAACTTGTTGACTGACAGAGAGGTGACGGAGTGACCATGGCCCGATGAACCGGTATCCAGCGCGAGCGTTACCGCGGCAGTGGAAGGATGAACCAATGGCATGGTTTACAAATGAGTTCTTACAGGTGGTGTGTGTGCGTGTACTGCGCCCCTTCAAGATGCATTCGCACACACACACACCGTGGCATTCACCCGCAATGGTAAACCTGTCTGTCTTCATCGATCTGATAAATCGCATATCTTATCTCGCTTTGTCCTTTTTTTCTATACCATTTTTCCTTTGCAAGCAATTGAAATGCGTAACTTACTTCAAATATTGATTGATTTGGTATGCGATGATTATCAAACAACTTTGTGGCTGGTGATAAACTTTCCGTGGGGAAAATTCACTGTGTGAAAGAGAGAAAGATCAAATTGTTGACTGACTGAACTGCACACATCCATATTATCAGGTTCGGATTGAATGAATATTCCCATAACTGATTGTAATCAGTGTACCATCCATATGAGGTCAGACCGAAAGTAACCGAAATATGAGGTAATCCGGGGGAAAGATAGATGGAGGATGCATGCCTAGCGAAATCAGCCGTCAACGATTTTCAGTTACGAATCCGCGGCACAGAATGCGCACGCCAGTCAAACAGGTATACGGCCAGAACAACTTTGACAGACAGCCTGATCTACGTTTGTACCATAGTTCGATGATGCAATCCGATTCTCACAGATGTTAACACAAATCTTGGTAGAAATCTTGTTTGGACCGGTTAAAAGTACATCGAACCTGTGTTTGGAAAAAGACTGCTACTTTCCGGAAAGGGATTTTCAGGCGTCTTTAGTGTTGTTTCATTTTCTGCATCTGTAAGTTTGGGCTCCCAGATTTGATCTTCATACGAAGTGACGCGTTTGCACAGTGGATAACATAAAGAAAGTTCAAGCAGCGTCAGTAATTGTAAAAGCGTCATTTGCTCAATCCAATTAGATTTTGTACTGTTTGAGGATGAATGTACAACTTCACGAATCGACCCAAGATTCCACAAAAAAGACTTTGCTTTCAAAGGTGAAATCACTAATGCATTTATTGTTTTTATCCTAACACAATTCCCTAGGAGCTGGTTAACAAAAGAATTGATCATTCCAAGGCACAACGCAAATGTTACAAAACGTAGTGCGTTCTGCATTTTTATTAGTTTCCACAGAAATGGTCCATGAAATTTGAATTAAGACAAGTAACACAGTCGAAGGAGCTTGAAATATCCACTAATGAACTCGAATTCTGGCCGTTGACTTCGACCATTTTACTGTGCAGTAGACAAATCGCCAACTGATGCACAAACCTAGGCAAGTTGCAAAGTAAATCTGTTTTTGATACTGAAAAATCAAGGTGTTTGGTTTCTACATTCGTTAATTACCGTACTACGCAGTATAACCTATAACTTATAAGCCAAGGTGTGTGTGTCAGTTGTGTTGTTGTAAGAGGGTTGAGGATTTGTGTCACACGAAAGTCAAGATGGGAGGTGATTGTGCCTCACTATTTTCCCGGAAAACAATTAAAATATTTTGAAAACATGAAAAATCTGGATTGTACAGTGTTTGCTTCTCCGTAATGACATGCTGTCAGAACAAATACTGTTTCAAAAACAATATTTCATTATTTTTGCTTCGATATGTATACATGAGATCATGCATTGTCAACCCCTATGTGCGTTTTTCCACACCAATAGGTTTGAGAATGTTTCTCGTGAATTGTTCATGATGTTACTTTTCTCATTTAATTCCGACAGAAAAGGCCTTGAGTTCACTCCAAAGGTAAATTTATGAGATCCAGGAATATTTGAATGATCTGGGCAAAACTAATCTTAACGAATTGAAACAAATTGGGATTGAGTAAAAGAATTCCCCGTGGTTTCTGTAAATAAGCAATGTTCACGCGTGGTAGTTAGGTAAACATTTAAGTTTTGAATCTCGTCAAAAAGAACGGTCTTTTCATGGTTACCTCTAATTGTGTATAAACTTACAGTTCAGTCAGCAGCCCATCGACATAGGTCTGAGATTGGAAACAGAGATTGACAGAAGTCGAAACAGAATCAAACGGATGCGGCATAATAGTGATTGATTTTGAACTTCAACCCCCCGGGGGGGGGGGGGGTAAGTTTGGCCTAGTATAGTAAAACATAGCACACACACACACACGAGACAGTTCACGCAACTGAGCAGTTGGAGATCTGGAGTTCAAAACTCACGGATCGAGAGGAAAGGTGAATAATGATTTGGGTGAGAGTGCGGAGAGGGGGTGAGGTGGAAGTGGG